TTACACGCAAGCGCAAATAGCTGAAGCTTTCGGGCACAGACCTTGCGAGAGGACTGTGCATGCTATCATACAGTCCTACGTGGCGAATGGCGATGTCCTGCCGCTTAGAGGACAAAAAGGAACACGCAAACCACGCAAGTTTGCTGGTGGAGTTGGTGCAGGCCGACGACCAAGCATTGCTCTCCGATCTGGCCACCGCTATGACAAACTTACTGGGCACTCTTTGGAGCGGCCCTGATATTAGCCGTGCATTGTCTGAGCTGGGTTACGTCCGCAAGAAGGTTCTTACCAGGGCATTCGAGGCACGGGAATCAGCTCAGCTGGCATATCGCGAGCTTGTGCATATGAACGGCTACATGGCTGACCAGTATGTCTTCATCGCTGAAGTCGCGACGGTAAGTTTCCAGTAGCATATTGCGTTCTAGGGGTCCCAGGGGTCATGGCAAGGACCTAACCCCACACATGCTGCAGGATGATCGCTCGCTGAATAAACCGTATGCCTGGGCCCAGCGTGGTGAATTGAGCAAGTCCCATAGCTTGTTTGTGCGTGGTCGGCGCTTCACCACTATCGCTGCAATGTGCACCTCTGGGGTGCTAGCACGGCGAACCATGGAGGGTGCGGCTTCACAGGAGATATTCACCAAGTTTTTCATCGAGGATGTGGTAAGCTTTGCATCTTATGTACACCAAGATGTTGTCCATGGCCACCACTCAAAACATGGTTTGTTCCTCTTCGTTATGGCCTGTGCAGCTGCCCTTCCTGAACAAGTTCCCCTTGCCTACATGCTCTGTGGTGGTCTTCGACAACTGTGCAATCCATGGCAAGGAGCTTTTTACTGGCATCTGCAATGCTAGTGACATCCAGTGCTTGTTTCTGCCTCCATACACGCCAGTTTATAACCCAATCGAGAAACTGTTTGGTGCTGTGAAGCAGTGGCTCAAGTCTAATCATCAATTTGTGTGCATGGTTCCACCGATCGTGGCAATCGATGAGGCGTTCAGGTCAATAACGGCAGAAGCATGCACAAACTGGATTCGTGCCGTACACTTCTATGACCGCTAGGCTGAATAGGGGATCGTAGATGTGGGCTGTGCCAGGGGATATTTGTACAGGTCACATATTATGATTATTCTGTGTTGTATATGATGTGGGTGCACAGGGATGAATGAGTGTGTTGTAGTGTAGTGCAATGCTACAGGCCCGTGAAGTATGTCTCAGGCCGGCACTGCCCCGACCACGGTATAAGACCGCGCTCCGAACGTGAGTAGAATATGAATTCTAAACAAACCCACGTCCGTTCTGTGAGCAAAGACGATTTCAGTAAATTTATGCATTTCGGTAAGGCTGTCGTACAGATTCTTGATGTTCAGTTCCGGTGAATTCTTACAAACGATTCCTTGACAGCCATGTCAGTTTTCAGAAGATTTCATAGTCATAATTGATTCGCATATTTCTTAATAAGCTCATCATTACTGTGTAGCTATCGCGCTACAACAGAGTGTAAGAGAGTTTGTCTCCTGATAGCTCGCCATATCAGCAGTATGATCTAAGCAAACATGATACCATTCATGGCAAGGGCCTTGTAAAGCAGACCTTTTATTACAGGTGATGGCAAGGATGATGGGTCTGTCTGGTGCCTGCAGTTGCCATCCACCAGTCAAACACCCCCAGGCCAGGGCAGCCCACAAACCATGACACACCAGGTCTGCTGTACAGCAACGGAGGCGCTGAATGGGAACGACCATACACCCCTGACGCATTCTAGAGTTGGATGAGGCCATCCCAGAACCCAAGAAACCGAACCCAAGCACAGCCCACAAGGAAAAAACCCGCTGGGTCTCGTAGTATTCAGCCTATAGCAGGAGATAAAGAAGGTCATAAGGAGCAGTGACAAAAGCGACCATTCGCTGTCAGGTAGCACAATTGCAAACACGCTACCTGTGGGATGGGTGCAGCATTTCCCAGCCCTGTCTGGGCTGCTGCCAATAGTTCTGACAATGCTGTGCCCGATACCATCCCTGCACATCCTTGGCCACCTTGAGCTCCGAGGTCTCCCGACACTTCAGCCATTAGCTCCACAAGTTTAGACTCATTAAAACATGCAGTTTAGATTCTGTTGATCTATGGCTTAACCTGTGCCAAATCTGTGCCTTAGCTTCATTCCTATGTTGGGGGGTGTTGGCCGGATGCCGATGTACTCGCATCAATGAAACAGTCGGATTTTATGAAATCTTCACTGTATGGTGTGTATACATAATACATAATCATGGCTTACCACGCATATGGGCGACAGAGGCGATCTCCGAATTGCGATGGTTAGTAAGCAAAGTTCACTGCGCATGTACTGCTTGCACTACAGTTGACGGCCCAAAGGAACATGGATTTGAAATTTATGGCTGGTTGCATAACAAATTGCGGGATGCGAGGCGAAGTGCGGTCTTGCGTACTGCTGAAGTCGCAAGTCGCAAGTTGCAAGTCGCAAGTTGCAAGTCGCAAGTCGCAAGGAACACGCATAATTTCTATTATAATATTCTATATACGCGAATACGTACGTGTGCATACTCAGTTTGTAGAGCGGATCTCAAAATGGGAGAAGTATTGAACCGTTACTACTACAGCAAACAAGTGCGCGAACGTGTTTGCCACCTCTATTTCGACGAGGGTTACACGCAAGCGCAAATAGCTGAGGCTTTCGGGCACAGACCTTGCGAGAGGACTGTGCATGCTATCATACAGTCCTACGTGGCGAATGGCGATGTCCTGCCGCTTAGAGGACAAACAGGAACACGCAAACTACGCAAGTTTGATGAGATCGCTGCACAGACGCTGGTGGAGCTGGTGCAGGCCGACGACCAAGCAATGCTCTCCGATCTGGCCACCGCTATGACAAACTTACTGGGCACTCTTTGGAGCGTCCCTGATATTAGCCGTGCATTGTCTGAGCTGGGTTACGTCCGCAAGAAGGTTTTTACCAGGGCATTCGAGGCACGGGAATCAGTTCAGCTGGCATATCGCGAGCTTGTGTGACAATATGTTCAAATGGCCCAGAAGCCTCCCACTCTGTAACAATTCAATTCAACTTCGTGAGCTTGTGTGTGTGTATGTATGTGTGTGCGTGTGCGTGTGTGCAAGTATTTGACCGTGCCTGAAACTGGCCAGGGACTGCTGCCCAGCCNCAACAGAAAGACCACCTAAACTCCTCCCGCAGACAGGAGAGGGGTGTAAGGGGCCTCTGTCCCTCCTAAGCAGCTGAGAGCCACGGGTCCACTAGTTCCGCTCTCCTCCCCCGGGGGTCAAGGCTCCGTCACGCGAGTTTGAGCACTGAGCCTGAAACACACAAGAAGACTGGCTCTTGGGGTGAGGATTCAAGAAGACCGAGGAAACCCGGAAACCCTGTACAGACTCTACCCCTCCCTATTAAGGCACCAGGCCCTAATAGAAAGCTCGGTCTCTCACCCGATTCTCCGTTGCTTGCCCGCAAGGGGCATGGGGGAGTGGGCAGGGTTCATTGTTCGTGCTGAAATCCATAATGACCACCTGAAATCGCCATGCCCCAATGTTTGCATCAAATGCTTATATGTTTCCGGTTAGGCTGTTGGGAGTTAGAGATTAACCAACCTAACGGCCATGAGTGCACAGCATGCACCTGCAGGCTTTGTGACTGCGGGGCGGTTGAAGACGAAATGCATGTCTTTGTGGAATGCCTGGCGTACATTAGTACACGGGCGAACGTGACCTCATGTTTCAAGGGTGCAACATGCGCACGATTATGACCGAGGCCCCACCCCTGGCACTAGCCAGGTTCCTCTCGGAAGTCTGGGAGACCCGGCGTGTTGCTCTAAGGCGCTCCGTGCTCAAGCGGACGAGGGTGGATGATGATGGTCCACCATGCAACCGCCCTAAAAACAATTTACCGCCCATGGGCCCCCCAGCTCTTACGGACACCCCCACACTTGTGTGGAACTTGTGCGGACTAGGCTAGTTCCTATCAGTCCACCGCCGGGGCTAGGGATGCCTGGAGGCAGTGTGGTTGTTACAGTGGGCTCCAGACTCACAAAGAGTACAGCCAGCGGGCCAGCAGGCCGTGCACTGCACCTGATACGATTAGGGCAAACAAGACTCCAACCCAGACCAGACAACGCAAGTCACCTAAATAATCCAAAAACAAATCCAAGGGCAGGCTCAGAACCCGCAACCACAGCAATTAGACTCCCCAATTGGCGAAAGTCCTCGGAACCCCACCAGAAGGCCCATAAGCAAATACTGTTAAGAACTTAATGAGATACAATAAGCAAATACTGATAAGAACTAGATGAGGCCTGAGTGAGCTTGTGCGTATGAACAGCTACATTGCATTGCTCAGACAGCTACATTGCGTTGCTCAGACAGCTACATTGCACTGCTCAGACAGACGAAGCCACATAGGCCGCAAGCCACTTCAGCATAGTTGCGCCTGCGATCGGCCATAGCCCGCAGACGCGGACGCCGCAAATGCTATCTGTTTACACCCTACAGGCGTGGTTCACGTACGTATTCGCGTATATAGTATATCATAATAGAAATTTTGCGTGTTCCTTGCGACTTGCGAGTTGCGAGTTGCGACTTGCGACTTGCAACTTTAGCAGTACCCGCAATTTGTTATGCAAGCAGTCGCCTCGCATCCGCAATTTGTTATGCAACCAGCCATAACGGCCCACCTGAAATATATGCTGCAAGGCTTGTGAGTTTCTACGTAGCTTGATGTAACTCCGTATCGTACGCGAACCGTAAGAGGTCACATAATGTTTGCCAATCACGCAGACTATTTATAGTCCGATGTATTTAAATGTCTTGTTGTGTATCCGTAAGGCTCCGAAATCGCATGGGGCTCGGAAAGCCCACCAGAAAGGCATTCGCATGAAACGCGAGGTTTGTTCCAGGTGGTGCAACTTGAAAAAGTATACGTAGCAAGTCCGTAGATGTGTATGCTGTTGCGACGTGCACTCCTCATATTCCTATAATGTCCAGCGCACGGCCTCTTTGGGCCGATGGTGACCCCGAGGAGTTGGCTCTTGCCTTCTTCGCAAGGACGGAAGAAACAGGCAAGAGACTGGGAAGGCGACACTACATGCGTTTCTTAGCAGCCATCTCGAGTGCATCAGTTCACAACGCGTGGATGCAAGCTACGTCGCCTGGCGGCGATCTTGTCGCGCAACTGAGCAACATCTTGCAAACTGCCCAAGCAGCTGAGCGCCTTATCACGTCCGCGTTGCCGCCCGAACTCGACGATGACGATGATGGGAACGAATCCGATGAGGGCAGCAGCACCAGCAGCAGCACCAGCAAAATGGCCGACGCACCTAGCGAAGGCACCGCAGGCGCGCAAAGCGCCGATGACGAACCCCCCTTGAGCGGCTTAAAAGCTGCTGTTAACGTGCTCCTCGGCGCAGCTGGCCGTGCTGCTGGCCGTGCGGCTGCTGCGGCTGCTGACAACAGTGGTGCTTCTTGTGTTGGGGATGGTGGTGGTGGTGATGGTGGCGGCCCCGCCGTCCGCAGCCGTGACTCGCCCAACAGAGCTCCCGCAGAGCTCCCGGCTTCACCGCGCCGCGTTTCCAGCTGCGCCCACGGGCCCCACTCCCGCCTGCTCCTCCTCACCAACGAATTATTGGACAGCATCTTGACGTTCCTGGACGGCTGCAGCGCTGCCTCCGCCGCCGCGGCCTGCCGGCGCCTCCGCGCCGCGCACAACCGCCTGCACTACTTCGACTTGTCGCCGGCCTTCCGCACGTACTTGGCGGCGCTGATCGCCCTCCGGGAGGAGAACGATTTTTTGGATGGCTCCCTGGAGTCGGAGTTCGTCGCCAACTTTCCGCTCGACGGCAGCCCAGTGTGCGGCGTCGACCTTTCGGACGACGCGTTCAGGCGGCGCATGACGGCGGCTATGCCCGACGTTGAGCAGGTCTTCGCGCTGTTGGCGGCGCCTGGTGACAGATCACTGGAGGAGTTTCGGTCTTCGATTGCTCATGCTGGGCAGCAACGGTTAGTCGTTAGGTAGTTCTGGCGGTTAGGTTGTTGTAACAGTTACCCGGGTTTGGGAACCGAGAAGTTGATGGGGGAAATTGGGGTTGGGTAGGGGTACGGGTAGGGTTGCGATGGTTGCCGTGGGGAGGTCTGGATGCGCGTCTGATAGTACCTAGGGCTTTTCCTTGTGGCAGCAAACGTGCTCCGAAACCCATTACGGAGCCGCCACCATGCCACGTGTCTTATTTCAACGAACTCCGTTAGGGTGCAACTACAGCCGTCGATATCCTGCATGTACGATATTCTGCATGCTCAACCCTTCGTACAAATTAAATGTCGTAAAATGTTACCTAATCGTGATGCACCTTGCGACGTCACGTGACGTCACGTGACGTGACGTGGCGCCCATTTCCTACTCCAGTTCGAACTCCTGTTTCCTCCTACCCACCACCTGCCCTCAGCAGGCCCCAGCCGCCCCACGTGCAGAGCTCCCCGCTAGCCGCATTCAGTAACTCCAAACCGGTACCTTTCTCCGTCGCCGGCATTAGCAGTAGCAGCGGTAGCAGCGGCGGCGGTGGATGCGGTGGTGGATGCGGCGGCAGCGGAAGTGGGAGCAGCGGGTTGGGGCGGCATGGATTTCTTGCCCCCAGCCATCAGCCATCACCCGCGTTGCCATTTCCTCAGCAACACCACCAGCAGCAGCAACACCAGCAACATCAGCAGCAGCAGCAGCAGGAGGAGGGTGAGGGTGGCGCTGCAGCAGCAGCGGCAGCGGCGGCGGCGGCGGCGGGGCCAGGGGCGCTGATCGCCTCTGTTGCCTCTTCCGCAGCGGCGTTAGTGCAGCCGGGCCCGACGAGCATTGCGGCGGCAGCCGGCGGCGGCAGCGGCGGCGGCAGCCATGGCGGCAGTGGTGCTGGAGGCACCGGGTTGGCTTCTTGGCTCGTCAATGCCATGTGCGACGTACATGAGATTTCGAACATGCCCGCTGGTCGCATGTGCTGCGACGGAGACCTCCTGGTGCTCGCTAGCGGGTACGACAGCGGCGGCGGCAGAAACTGCGCGAGGATGCCACCGCCGCTGTCATCACCGCCGGCGGCGGCGGCACTCGGGGCTCGCTCGCCGCCGTCATCGGGAGTCGTCGTTACTGCGTTGACGCTCGGACGGGGGCCTTACGTGCAGTACGACGGGGTGGCCCAATATAACGTCAGCGCCGGTCGGTCTTTTTCTTCGTCTGGGCCGCCGTACGCCGTACAGCTTTGCGCTGACAGCACGAATGGCTTGGTGTGGGTGGCATCGAACGAGGGCGGCGGGTAGGTGGCCGTGTGGCGAGTGGATAGCTCCGAAACCGGCTGAGCAGTTTATAAGCCTGTCAGGGTTTTAGGGTTTCATGGTGACTGCCGGGTGGTTAGGGGGTTGTCAGGTCGTTGTTGTGGAGGTTGGGAATGGTAGTCCGGGAAACGGTGTCACGCTACCTAGAGTGTGTGTGTGTGTATGTGTGTCGTCCTTTTTGTGTTTCATTGCCTTTGTGCAGAATTGTCCGTCGCTGGTCGTTCGTACGTACTTCTTGTTTTTTTTCTTGGAAGAAAGTACAGCTTTGGGAACAAACCTCCCTACATGCACACACACACGCACACCTGGCGTTGGACGGAGCAGCATGTAACTTTTTATCTGTAAGATATTTATAAGATATTTATCTACGACATTTCCTCCGTACTCGTACTCGTACTCCAGGGTTATCCGAGGCTTTCGGGCACCGGCTGAGTCGCCGTCGTCATCGCTGCCACTCGCCAGCGGCGGCCGCCGCCGCGATGGTGGCGGTCGCGGCGGCGGTGATACGGCACTCCAGTACGTTTTGTACGGCAATGTTTCGGGTCTTGGTGGCAGCCCGGCTGGGGTCCATGTGGTGGGGGAGCGACTCGCCTTTGTGACGAGTGAGTGGGTGGGAAGCTTAGAGAGAGGGAGAGAGGGTCATATGCCGTACATCAACGTCTTGGTACTGGAGGGGACTGTGTATTTACACATTTGAATTCATGCCGGGTTGCGTTCGCGGATGGATGCCGCATCTCTATATGACACCTCGTTGTTCTTGCGGTGCCGAAGCAGTTATGGCAGTTAGGGACAGTTAGGGACAGTTAGGCGGGTAGATGCGTGGAAGGGCAGGCTCATCTTGCAGGGCAAGATCGGGTAGGACATACATACATACATACATACATACATACATACTTACTTACTTAGGGTTTTAGGGTTTGTCACTACTGGTAACGCGCGACCATTGCCCCCGGGAGATCCCGGGATCGATACCCGTTAGGGTCAAAAATCCTTCCGATGGTGGAAGGTATTGCGCCCCTAGTTGATGGACGGTGGTGACCTGGGATAAAGTTAACCTGCGAGCCGACCAGGAATGGAGTTGGGCCGCTGTCGACCCGGCAGATTCCGTTGGATGCTGGTGGTGGGTGTGGAACCTTTGGCGATCCACTGAGAAGTTGACTAGGGTGACTAGATGAGGGTGCCCCGAAATACCGGGGAAGGCAGGGTTTCGCAGGGTAGCTGCCACGGGCGAAGATATACCCCCCTGTTTCACACATCATACAGACAGACAGACATACGTACATACAGACAGACAGACATATATCCTGCTTTGTGTGCCCCATGTCGGGTACCACACCACGTCGCGGCCGCCAAGGACACTGCAAGTTTAAAAACCGCATCGTGCACTGCATCAGTTGAACAACTCTGCTCGTCCTTGTCGTGTGTACGGGACCTGCTAACGCTTTGTCTGTGTGTGTGTCTGTGTGTCTCTCGCGCTGACGTTTCTCGCTCTGTTTTCAATTCCCGAAGGTAGCGGAGCAGTTCAGTTTTGGAACCTGGCCAGCACACTGCGACCTGGCGGCCAAATGGCTTCTTGGGCTCCTGGCAGCCGCGGCGGCGGCGCCGTCGCCGCCGCCGAGGACTACGCCGCAGGCCGCGGCGATGATGCCGACACTGACATGTACGACAACGATGACGATATCTTGTTCGGAGAAGGAGACGAAGACGATGAGGACTTCAGGAAGGGGCGTCCGCCGCATAGGTGGTGTCGGCGGAGTGGATATGCTGCCACCGTCGTACATAATGTACGACCACACGTCATCAGCACGTTGCCGCTTCCGTCACCCCGTGGCGATCCTTCACCTTTGAGTTTACTCACGAGCCTATCGGCGGACACGGAGCCCATGGCGGCGGCCCATGACGGTGACGGCGACGGCGGCCCGATCTGTCTCACACGGCTACTGTACGACGGCACAGCTCCTACGGCGCCAATCCTTGTGGCAGCACTGACCGGAAATATAGTCGTGTCGTACGACCTGGAGACGCTGCGTGTCAAGCAACAGCTACTTGGGCACCTGTACGGCATAACGGACATTGCCGTACCGCCGAGTGCCTGGCGGCAGTCGGACCTGTTTGCGACGTGTGCTCGCTCCGGCGATGTGAAGCTGTGGGACGTGCGTACGAAGTGCGGCTCGGCGGCGGTGACGCTGACGAACGGCGAAACGGCGCCGCTGAACTCGGTAGTGCTCGCCAGTGCCAGCGGCGGCAGCGGCGGCGGCGACGGCGGCGGTCGAGGGCAACTTGGCGGCGGGATGATTTGCTTTGCAGGTGGGGCATCGCCGTACAACGCTACCCCCCTTGTGGTGAAACATGATGAAATGAATACAATAAAGGACACCTGTGATGTAGAATACACACACGTACATACATAAAAACGATATGTACGTATGTATGTATGTATGTGCGTACTATATACATATCCAGGCTGTGTTACCTAGAGAGGCTTAACGAGCCCCTAAGAGCCCGGAGGCCTAATAAGCTGAGAGAAGCCGTAAGCGCCACAAGCTTAAAGACTCAGGACATAGTGGTGCATTGGCGCTTATGAACGATGTGACCAACTAGAAGGGTAGGGGACAGGTTCACAGGATACAGGTTATGTATTCTCACACGAATACATGCAGCACCATGTGTCGTGAGGGGAATGCGTATGGATGGTGGATGAACGTTCGTGTGTACATGCACCGGTCTTGGCGCGATGGATCACATGTTAAAATACGGCGAACTGTGTCGTACCGGACTATCCTACGTACGATGCCAACACATTTCCCTCGCCAAGGCTGTCGTGCGCCAGTACGGCGCCAGTACGGCGCCAGTACATACAGTTCTTTGTTGAGTGGCTGTCTAAAAGAAGTTGTCGGGAATAGCTACTGGCGGCTACGTGCTTGTGATTGATTATGTTTGCACGCGACTATATGAGCGGCGTGCTCAACCTCCGATTCTCGCGCCGATTGGCATTCGCTTCTGCTCCCCGGCGGATGCCCTCTTCCTATGCCGCCGCCGCCGTCCATCTCTGTGTTCTACACCGGGGGGTGTGCGCGCGTGCATAACCCGGAGGAAACTATACGTACTCTTGTCTGTCTGTCTGTCTGTCTGTCTGTCTGTCTGTCTGTGTGGTCGCAGGAGATCCTCTGCAGGTGGGCGACTTCCGTCATGACACGTGGATTGCACACGAGGGAGCTACAATGGAGTAGCATGAGCGATGTGATTCCGCTTCTTTATTTACATTTCGTTCCATGTCTTTCCACTTCTTTACATTTCTTTACATTTCGTTCCATTTCTTTACATTTGGTTCTCCACAGGGGGCCAAGGCGAGTCTATTTGGTCCTGGGACCTCCGCGGCGGACATGCTCGTCCCATGTACGAGCTATCGACCGGCAACACGCAAGTCATCTCCCTCGCCTGGCATGGATCCAGAAACAGCCTCCTCGCCGCGTGTGAGAGCAAATGGGAGAGTGTACACGGTACCCACAGCCCCCAGGACTGGAAGCTGGTTCGCGTTGACGGGGGCCTTGGTGTCGGCGGCGGCGGCGGCGGCGGCAGCTTCGGGATGGTGGGAGGTGCGAGTGCCAGCGGCGCTGGCGGCAGTAGCAGCTACTGCGCCAGTTTTGGAGCCGCCGGGTTGAGCATCAGCAGCGGCGTCGGCGGCGTCAGTAGCAGCGGCTTCGGTTTCGGCAGCGCCAGCGCCAGCGGCGGCGGCAGCAGTAGCAGCGGCGCTGCTGGCGGCGTCGGTCACGTTCCCCCATCCTCCTCCGGCGGCATTGCGGTGGCTCTCCGCGGCCCTCAAGGCTGTGGTGCTGTTGGCGGCGATGCTCTCAACCTTCTTGCAGCCGGCGGCACCGCAGCCACCACCGCCGCTGCAGCTGCCGCTGCCGCTGCCAGTACGGATCGCCAATACTATTGGCCAGCTCGCGCGAAGCACCTCCATGGCGATTTCGGAGCCTACTTCAACCTGGCTCGCTCCTGCGTGTTGCGCTACAGGTTCTCCGAACACGCCGGTCGCTGCGTCCCCGCCAGCTCCTCCCCGCGGTTTGAGGCGGGCTGGGCGACCTCCTCCGGCTGAAGGGCTGTTGGGTCCACCAGGGGGTGGGCGGGGCGGGCTTGTGTTGTGGTTCTGGTGGTGCTGGTGGTGCGTCCACACACCTCCCCCAAGCGAAGCGAAGCGGTGCGAGGCGCACTGCATCGAGATCTGCTGCTGTCAACATGCAGACCGCAGCTCAGCGCATGTGAGCTCTTTGGTACCTTCACTACACAGCACAGCACAGCACAGCACAGTACAGCTGCAAGGGAAGAAGTGAAAAGAGTCCGGTGAGACGATGTTGGGGACGGGACGACGCCTCGCGGAAGGTTCATTTGATCGGGGTAGAGGCCAGAGAGGCAATTGCAATAGATAAATAAATAGACAGGTATATATATAGAAAGAGATAGATAGATAGATAGATAGATAGATATAAACGGAGAGAGAGAGAGAGAAAGAGAGAGAGAGAGAGAGAGAGAGAGAGAGAGAGAGAGCGGCGGGTTTGAATTTGACACTCGAGTGGAGCGGGGCGATGTATGGGGGGGTGAATTTCACGGGGGGCTGGCGGGCTGGCAGGCGCCACGATGTGTGTGCGTGCGTGGGGTGGTGGTGTTGGCTGCTATTGCTGGTCGTCCGGCGGGCCGCCGTACATTGGATTTCGAAGCGAGCGATTATGCTTGTTGCGTGTAAGCCGGCAGTTGCTTGGGTAGATGGGTTGGAGCGACCCGGCAATATGCCTACCTGTTTTATTCGGGTAGTATGTATGTATGTATGTATGTATGTATGTATGTATGTATGTATGTATGTATGTGTGTGTATACGTGCATGGATACTGTGTGTTGTGCTGCATTGGTTTACACAGTGCTTGTCAACGCAGTGCAGGTCCGTCGCTCGACTGCTGTCGTCAAATCCACACAGCAGCAGAAGCTGCAGAAGCTGCGCCGTATGCGGCCTGACTTCCTGTTTTGTATGTATTGCTGCCGGGCGGGTAATTTTACGAAGACACCCTGGCCTCCCGGATACGAAGAGTTGTGTCTGCGTGCTGTGCTATACACCTCCTGCCTACTTTCTTTTTTTCTTTTAGCTGCGTTCTTGCTTCCTACAATATATATTCACACATATATATAGATTTCTATTTTACCTCGCCTGTGCGTCTGCGCCTCTTGAGCATGCATGTGGCTTTTTTTTCTCCTCCATATGTCCATATGTATATCCCAACCTGTGCATGTATAGCCTTGCTTGTCTGGCCGTCTGGGCGCGAGTGTGCGTGAAGGAACACAATCACCGCAAAACTTCGGAACGAGCGAAGTCCCAGGTGTGTGTGTATGTGTGCATGTATGTGTGCATATTTTTGTGCATGATCATCTGTTGAATGACCTGCTTTGAGCATCGATCAGTAGGCTGCTGTGCGACCAGCTAACGAAGAGTATGTTATTGTGTATGTACGTACGTACGTATGTATGTATGTATTCTGTGTCAGTCTGCTCCGTATGTAATTGAGCCCCGACATGGAAGTCAATTGTACGCTACATATCTTCTCTAGGTGGGTGCTTATGTGTGCAGCCACGTCTTCGTCCATACGTACGCGTCCAGGCCCCTGTATGTATGTCCGTGCATTTGTCATCGCCGCACGCTCTTAGGATGCTGCACCTAGTACACGCCTATATCTCCTGCACCTGCTACCCTATATAGATTAGATGTAGACAGATGAAAGGCGCCCCATTGATTGTGGGCATATATATAACGGCCATGCATACGGGCGATGATCCTGTTGGGCGCTTGCTTGCCTCCTTGTGACAGAAATAGAATATCGGCTGCAGAGTGCCCTCCGAGCAGCGCCTACGGCCACTAGGTAGCTAGCAGCAGTTACCTTGGCCACCAGTTCGCCCCTCGGCAGCCCCCCGGCTATAGCCCTAGCCACCACCGGGGCTGTGCTGCATGCAAAAGCCGCGGTTAAATGATACGTACTCGCTTACACTGAAAATGGTGACGACAATGATGATGATGATGACGATGGTGGTGGTGGTGGTGGTGCTATCAATGATAATGAGGAGGACGAGGCGGCTCGCAGGTAGTAGTAAACAAAAAGAGATTTGGTGGCGTCTTGCGGTTGATGGGGTGCCTATGTTAGGAAATTCCCATCTTAGGATGTCGCGCCCAACGATATGTGGTTGTGGAGGTTATCCAATAGGTTCAGTGGGAGGTGTATCCCCTCGCTATCATCATTTCTGGGCCTGTCCGGTGGCACAGGCAATAGCAGATCAACTTACTCTTTCAATAGGATTGCCAGTCTCAAGGGAGCAACTTTGGCTTATCCAAGCCCCACAATCAGTGCAACAATGTGTTTGGGATGTTGTGGCTCTTGCTGCGGTGTCAGCCATGGAGCATGGGAGACGTTATATGGCTGCAAACATGAAAACCAACCCGGCACTGTTACCTGGTCCTTCCCTTACGGAAGAAGCAATTTGTCGAGTTATTGTTGATTTTTGGGGCCGCATTCAGGGTTTCGCAGCTTTAGGAATTCCACGAAAAGGTTGGGAATCCGTTGGCGCACATCACCCCTTTTTGAGGATTATATCTGGCAAATTGATTTGTTCGCGAGAGCGGTTACCGATGAGAGGTTAATTATCTGAGATGATAATCTTTTGGTATATTAGTCTCTACTGCAGTGCACGGCCAGCTGGCCCGATGGCTCTACTCTTCGGGAGTCTGGAGCCCACTGTAACAACCACACACAGTAGTAGTAGTAGTAGTCGTTCGTCCGTTGGGCGTCTGCATCATCATCGACGGATTCACGGGTTACATCACATCCATCCGCCCATCCATCCGTCCGTTCATCCACCTACCTATGTAGCCCTTGTAGGAGTCATTACTAGGGTAGTGCGTGCGCGCATACATTCGTTGCGGAATGCGTATGTATGTATGTATGTATGTATGTATGTATGTATGTATGTATGTATGTATGTATGTATGTATGTATGTATGTATGTATGTATGTATGTGCGCACAAGCATGCTTGTGTGTGTTGCACCTTCTGGAGTTGCGTTACTCTCCGAAGGTGTAACGCAACGGGCTCAGGGCCCATACGAGCCGGAGCATATGCATATAGCTGTACATGCGCGCGCGTGCTTGCGTGGCCCCCGCTGCTGCCTTTGGTCGTCCATTGCTTGCACATAATAGATCATCCAGCATCCGCCCCTTACTAGTTACTATCCAGCTGCCTGCGTTTTGTGTTTGGGTAGCTACATAAAATTCAAAAACGTCGGCTAATCTCTGCTGCTTGCACTTTAGGTCGCTACGGTACATGTAGTACGTCATGTAGTACTGTTGTGGGGGGTACACCGTCGTGTAAGGAGGTGGAAGGCGCAGTGTGTGCACCGGCACCGGCACCGCTTTCTCGGGGGATTGATTTCTTTTGGGGGAAAGACCTAACAGTGGGTAGGTGTGGGGATGGGATAACAACGCGCACGCTCGCATACATATAGAAGCATTTTTGTTTGCTAACTGAGGAGGGCGCGCGGGTGGGCGGGTGGGAGGGTGTGTGTGTCCAACTGAAGGTACGTGTACATGAGGATGTTTTGCATTCCGGGTGGTGTGATCACGACCCGCCTTAGCCCGTTCTGGCGTTGTTCATTTTTTACTCGGGAGTTAACACCTTCCTGCTCCCGCCCACCGTCTTCATGCCAGCAGCCAGCAGCCCGTTGATAATGATTATGAATATAAAACTATATGTAAAAATATACACGTATGTATATTTACGTGTTGTGGGGTATAATAATCTTGTTTCCCTAAGAATCCTGGATACTTGCGAAGTAGCTCTTGTGTAAGCGGCCGTGTGCGGACAACAGCACCCGGTGCCTGCAACAGCGCTCGTGTGCGTGCGTACGGATTAAATTGGGCGACCTGTCGTACCAGCACGTCGTGCGCTTGCGCGTCTTGTCAACAATGTCGTGCGTGTGATGGATCCTCTGATTGCTCGGTGCTGCGGCTGAGGGACATGTTGATGGTGATAATCTTGCTCAAGACATGGCGGCTCATCAGGGCGAGGAGTTGATGACAGGGACTTGTGCATATTGATTACTAGTGCATGCAGAAATGGTTGTGAGTGGTTGAGCGTTGCGGTGGTACTCCTGCAGGGGGGTTTGTGCACCTAGCAAGGTACGCGTGCGTGTGGTGGGGAGGAGATCGTGTGCGTGTGAATTCGTTTATTTATATGCAGTGGTAAACACCTTGTTACTTAGGGTTTGTTTTGGAATCCACGTCGCACATCCGTATCGATTCATGCAAAAGTGCGAGTGGACGTGTGTTTGTGTGTCTGTGTCGATGTGTGTTGGGGGAGAGGAGGGGCTTCTCCTGCTTGGGTGGTTGTATGTATGTATGGGTTTAATAAGGTCTGATATTTCCTTTCTCAAATGTGTCGCGTTCGGACGGAAGTATAGTTAAGGATGGCTAAGGATCCCCCTTCCTGCCTATCACATACACGTCGGCAACATACACGTGCTAGCCTGCCATTTTCGGTTGGACGTTTCAGATGTAAGGCAGGGGATGCGAGTTTGGTTGCTGGTGTTGGTGCTGCTGCTGCTGCTGCTGCTGGTATTCAAAACATTAACGAAACAGTTCTTGAGCTATAGTGTGGCGGGGCGGGCGGGGGCCAAAGCGAGGCTATGGAGCGACAACACGCCAGGGACACTTTTCCTGTTGACGCGTGTGACCGATTGACCGTTCCGCCAATGAGAAGAATGACCACCACTGAGGTCGCAAACGCAAGATACTTAAAAGGAAGGTCGTCTGTTGGGCTGGCGGGTGATACGAACACTGTGGGAATAATTCTACTTGGGCTTTGGTTAAGGTGCCACAGTCCTGGAGGGGGAAACCTTGGATCCTGCCTCTGCTGCATGTGATTGGGCAGCAGCCTTCGGGATGCGAAGGCTAATGTAGTTCTCGCCTTCACCGCGGCGCGAAGGAGTATGACTCCTATCTATCTTGCAGTGTGGTATTGGGTCGTGCAGTACGGTTTATGCCGTGTGCACTTTTGGGATAAAAAATGTGATACACCAGGATTCCAGTCAAGCAAGTTACAACAGAGAGCCACGAGACGGGCTGCAATAGGCAGGCATGTTGTTTTTTGCAAATGACACGCGCGCTGCTAGCTAACGCATTAGCAGAGCACATGCAGGGAACAAAGATGCATCCGTGCAACGCTGCTGCCGACCGATACGACCAACAAACAACATGGAAAACTGATAGCAGATAACACCACCGCAGCACAGCATGTCCAACCAACCAACTGATTCAGACAGCCAGCGACTGATCAACTAGACTCATTTCCGCCTGATTGCATCTCCGCCTGTGTATCTCCGCTGCATTCGCCCGCATGTGCACTTGCGCGTCATGCACAAACCTCTCCATTTTAGACAGTCGATTCGCATGCACGTATCAACCGAACCAGGATAGAAAAAAACAGGGAGGAGAGTACTACTCTTCGGGATGGATCGTACATCTCTACACACAACTAGTAATCCTCGCTGCTGAAGAGAACACGGAAGGGAACGCCGTACCACTCGATGTTGTTGTCCTTGGCGAACCTGTCCGCAGGTACAAAAGGAAGGACGCGCATTACAAGGACGGACGGAAGGACGGACGGCCACATTTGTAATTTTCAGCGGGGCTGCATTATCAGGACAGCATATTGCTCGCCTCTCGACCTTTCCAGTTGGCCAGGGCGGGGCGAGGCGGGGCGGGCTGTACGCGAGACAGATACGTGGATTTTCGACGCTTATAAAGGACACTATTGACGTGGGAACCTGAGCGTCTGGCGAAGATGCTGAACCGTACTCGCCGCAACTGTTAACATCCCCTTTGGTCGTTTATCACGTGCACTCCAGACAAAGCAAGTGATGCGAGTGCCAGGTAGGATTGGGCGGTTTGCAGGTATAGGGTACGCACCCCCACGATATGTAACACACACATACACACACATACACACAGATACATCTGCAATCCAACCCGACCCGCGACCACCCTACTCACTGCCTCAGGTTGATGAAGTGGTCGGAAGTGATGTGGTCCAGATAGCCCTCCAGGGAGTCCCAGGCGCCGCGAATCAGGTAGTGGTGGTTCATGGTGGCGAACTTGCGGAGGCTGGGGATATGATGAAAAACGATTCAGCTTGCTGTCGTAAGGCACGGAAACTAGAAAAAAAGGGGTTAAAAAAGGGCCCTAGGAAGGAAGCATCTACGTTAAGACTGCACACATCGATTCATTTTGGGGCCAACACCCCTTCTTGTTCCTTTGGACTGTGTTGCGCGACCCGTGCACGGGGTAGCGATGGCGGCGAATTGCGATGATTGTGTTGTGAAGGATGTCTGGTGCTGGAATCCTGTATTATTAAGTCTTTTTGGACACCTGCATAGTTCTGACTGCACATGCAGCATATCCCAGCTGAATGTCCCATGCAGAAAGCAGCCGGACCGGACTCACACGAAAAAGCGGTTCTCGTCCTCGTCCTTCACCACGCGCTTCTGCAGGTCCTCGAAAGCATCCAAGAAGTCGTTTACCTGGCGTGCGTGAAAGAAGAGGAAGACGGATACGGAATGCATAAAATGAAAATTTTTCCAAACGCACAAAAGTTTAGGCCACATGCATATTCAGCAAGTAAGATGTAGATAAATGTTTCCTTTCAAGATACTTGCACAGCATCTAATGGGACGCGGCTATCCCTCTTGCAAAGCCACAAGGCTACAATATTTCTTTCTCAACTTACCTGCGATGGCATGATGTGGAAGCGGATAGCGGTGTGTGCCGGCTCGTCTCGCGGGTCCCAATCCTCGATCTCGCGACCACGGCGGCGGCGGCGCTCCAGGTCCTTGGCGGCGGCAGCACGGGCGGCGGTGGCGGCCTTCTCGCCCTCGCGATCCGCGCGGTACTCCTGGAGCGTGTACGAATGTACGGCGCGATGGGGGAGTGATCACTTAGCGCATGATGGGGCAGTGAATACTCAGTGCACGAAGTGGCGGAGGGCTGGAAAGGGAGCAGCTGAGGATGAGATGACGCAGCGTGGACCAGCACATTTTCGGCCTGGCTAGGCTATAGCAAGATCTGAGTCGCTTAAAGGCATTATCTTATTTTATTTGTATTATTTAATATGTATTCCCAAGGACAGCTGTGTCCCTTTCCTATGGCAGATAGATGATATGCTGCGTATTGGTGGGCTTCTGCCGTACCCGCTTCTCGTCTCCCAGAGCCTCCAGTGGAAAGGCCTCGACCAGAATATCGTTGTCGTTGATCCACTCGTGAAAATCCCTGTGCTCGCGAGAACTAATGCACAGCGCGTGCGCAGAAAAATAAAAGGCGTGTTACGTCAATATATATTAGTAATATTATCATCATTAACATTAAGGTCTAGGGTTTTATGGGTTTCAGGGTTTTAGGATTTTAGGGTTTGGGTTTTAGGGTTTGATATTAATATTAATATTCATATTCATATTATTTTTTATTAAATAAAATAATGAGTAATCGGACCGCACGGCTTAAGGAAAGCGCTTTCCGGATCAACCGTCGCAACCCAGCGCCCATCTAACAGCACTGCGCGGCATCGGCGAATCTGTAAACCAGTATTAGTTAAACTCACTCCCAGTGGTCCATCAGGTCGCCGAAGGTGTCCCACTCGGTGTAGCTCCAGAAAAAGACATTGTCGATCACGTTCTTGGTCTTCTGGTAGAAGTTTAGACCCTTGACATCGCGGAGATTCTTGTCGTGACGATCCCTGTGTTCAATAGGTCGAAGCGGTCCAGCCCAGTTAGTAAGTCGGCAAAATCGGCAACGAGTTAAAGGCGTAACAGCGATGACGAAAGCAGCCGGGCTTTCCAGCACAGGTCGCTAATAATAAAGGAATCCGATGCCACCTTGAAGCAAAGTGCTTCGTTGCTGGTGCTGGCGCATGCATATTCTCTGCACGTAAAGTGAGCGTGGACCGAGCAACCGAGATTCAGTCGGATAACCATATCGGAACCAAACGTCAGCGTAATCCAATTCAAGGACGCGAATCTTATCTCATGCTTCCACCAGAAGCACTCCCTGCATATCCGTCCCGTCGTCGTACTACTGCTTCCTACTACTCACAGTTCCTCAATGAAGCGGTCGTGCAGTGTCGGGGGCACCTCGTACTTGATCAGCAGGTACGCGGGGCGGTTCTCCATGCCCTCGCCACCGCGGCGCATCAGCCACTAATGATACATCGCAATAACAGCACAGTCGACGAACAAAGCAAGGCAGCAACGAATACGGTACAAAGTGTAAAGAGTCATTTACAAGGGGAGTGCGCGGCGGGAAACAAACGAGGAGGGAGGATCGGGGTGTCAACCGCACAATCCTTACGCTCTTTTAAACAGAGCTCCCGCTGCTGTGCTACGATAAAGCTATCAGAGCTATCAGAGCCCCTAAGCAGCAGCAGCAGCAGGGCATTCGTAGCGCACGCACCGCGCGCGTGCTGTTCCTCAAAGGAGGAGCTGGGAGTGAAAAGTACTAATTAATAACAGATGCTGACTGAAGCCGGCTGCCCAGTTCAAAATCTGCTGTCATTCCATTCGTGCGATTACCGTAAAATCAGTAACAGCCTAAGGGTCGCTTCTCAAATCGAAGTGTAGCAGGAACATATGCCCCGATTGTGTTGATGCTTGCAGATTTGATCGATTTGTTTCGTCATCAGCGCCGTCCAAACAAAACCCAGTAGCCTTATCATAATCGCGCCATTAAGCCAGGTTTGCGCCCGGAGCCCTCGTTCTTATTACCTCGATCGCGTTGATGTTGCTGGTGCTGCCGGCGTTGCGGCCCAGGGAGCGCTGCATGGGCAAGGGAATGTCGCGGTAGGCGCTCACACCCAAACAGAGCAGCAGCAGCGCCGCCGCTGCGGCGAGCAACGGATTACGCCGACTGGGCGTCATTTTGAGGCGGGGAGGAGATAGCTGCGTCGTAGAAGAAAGAAGCAAAGAAAAAGCGGGATTGACCACCAAGGCGCAGATAGGAGCTGGCCTTCTAGCTTATCGCCGTGTGGAGCTCGGCCGCGCTTATGCGATTATATACTTGGCGTCGGAAAACGTTCTCCGCGTGACGGCTCCAGAACCATGAGGGTGGTTGCGCAATACCCTTGGAGGTCATTGGCACCCAAGCGAAAAGGGTTTCAGTACCGAATTCGAATCTGGATCTGGCATTTGATGATTTCGTACTGACGTCAGGACGTCGTGGCACTGTATGCATCAAAAACATGTACTTTGCTGCGTCATGGCCCCATAGGACGCAATCCTGAAAATAGTTTCGTCTTTAAATCTTATGTGGTTGCTTGGTGGTTTTCGTATTTTGGATGCCAATCTCCAGTGGGCAAGTATGCCAAACATACAGGAACTGACATTCGTAATAGGGACTTTTGCTTTTTTTTACTAGAAGTGAGCACGCATCTCCCTTAATTTGTTACCTTGTTTTTTAATTTTTGATTATCGGGTGAAACTGGTGAAGCAGCTGGCTGCGTTTGTTGCGGCTTCGTAGTGTGGCCGGCCGTTGGTGGCCGGTAGTGGCTTGCCGTGCATGTAACATGCGTGAAGGAGAATGGTAGTGCGCAGTCTGCAGCATAGGAGGCGCCGGCGTGTGTGCGTATGTGGAAGTGATATCCACAGGTGCTGGGACAGGCCGGGACATGCGCGGCAGCGCGGAGGTGGAGATGCTCTAGGTGTGGCACCGTGCTGGGCGGCATCCGTGCTAGGATACAGAGCCTGACCGAGCTGTGAACACCAAAACGCTTCTGTCCTGTTCCCTGCACGACGTAGCAAGCCGCCGTGCGAGGTCACATCTGGGCCACGTTCCTATTCAGGCATGCAAGCCACGCTGCATGAGGGCGCTGCGAAACACACCTGACGCGCCAGCAACATGCAGCAAGCGTTGTGCGTGTTGATAACAGTGCACTGCTATCATCGGCCTGACGTGCCGACCGAAGCTGTGCATGTGCCCAGGTTTAATGCCGCTTGGTGATCATGCAAGGAACTCCGCGGCGTTGCAGGGCTCCATTCGGGTCGCACACGATTGGCCAGCAGCACTGCCCTTGTCGGCAATGCGCTGTGCACGTTGCCAGTTTCTTCCATTTTCAGGCGAAGCGGCACAGCAGCTGCACGCATTGTTACACGCTTGTGTACATGCCGATGATGATTGGGCCTTCGGCTCGTATGGGTAGTCTTACAGGTATGGGGTCACGCACCCCCAGCCATCTAACACACACACACACACGATGATGATTGTCGATGCGATGCCTTTCGCCGGCATTTTCAGGCTGAAGTATAGCTCGCATCCTTTTTGGTAGTATGGCCGTATGTATGCTCATTCCGCCAATAGTAGAGGTACCGACGTTATTATCCTATTCTCCATGAAGGCTTTGCCTTCCTATCGCCCGTCGCACCAAGGATAATGTTGGCCTAGTTCGGCTCTCAGCTTTCCTCTGTCTGCTGTTTATCCCTCTGATTTTTTGACGATAATCCTGCGTTTGCATGTACACACTTCCAGGGCTGGGAAGGAGGGAAGCTTGGGCGGATAACAAGCAGTAATTTGTAGCTTAGATGCGGCAGGAGCAAAGCGAGTATAGCCTCTAAGCTAGGTTATGTACGGCAGCCGTATGGCTTGCTGAGAATTCGAATTTACTATTTCAGCTGACAGCTCCATAGTTCCGGCATTCTGCCTACACTATTGGAGCTTATTATTATTGTTGCTCTCACTCCCCCCCCCCCCGCCCTCAGTGTCCCTCGTTTATAAGCGGCAGGCTCGGCCCAGTTGGAGACCGGTGATTAGGCAGTCCCCTCGGAGCGCCGGACGTGCAGCTGTACAGCGATTACCGCACGGCAAATAAGTGCCTATAGAGTATCGTCGCGCGCTAGGAATGTCGCCTGGCCAGCCCCGCTGGCCAGGGTGTGGTTCGTGCGTCGCTGACG